ACAAGGAAACTGTTTAATGGCGTTTGACTTAACTCCTGATTTGTCTGCGAACGCTACTACACATTGGAACCTCATTAGGCATGGCAGCTTAAGGATTGAACTTGGATTTTCCGAAGCCCTAACAGAAACAATTAACTGCATTGTTTACGCAGAGTTTGACAACATAATTGAAATTGACAAAAATAGAAACGTAACTGTAGATTATGGTAGTTAAATAGTTTAGTGATGTAGCAAAGACTCATTGGTTCACGTCAACTCCTGCGAGATGGATCAAAGTGTTGTGGTTGACATTCAGTGCTTTAAGGATAACAACGGTAAATTTATAATTAAGGAAATAGCTGTGTTAAATATTAAAACTGGAAATTTATTATTTCACCACATTGTGTGCCCACCATTTCCTCGTAGACTACTTACCATGGAGAAACTAAGAGAAAGTAATTGGGTCACTAAATATTATCATGGGCTGGACTGGAATTGTGGCGACATACCGTACCAGGTACTGTTAGAAAAGTTATATCTGGCACTATCCTCGATTTCCCACGTGTTTGTAAAAGGAGGTGAGAAAGCAAACTATTTAAGAACAGTTATACCACGTCATTGTACCGTTGTTGATCTAGAATGTCAACCGTTGAACTTTCTTGGCAATCTTTTTGCTTTAGACACTTTAAGATGTAACAATCACGCTGCAGCTGAACACAAGTGCGCGCTATCACATTGTTTGATTTTAAGAAAGTGGTACTTATCTCAAAAATGAACTCATCAGAAGTGTACTTCTTTCTAAAAATGCTACCAACCCAGAGTGTAGGAGTTTACGCCTCAGATTGTCTACCAAGGAAGATACCACCTTCAACTGTCATTGTAGTGAATACAGATCCACACACCAAGAGAGGGACTCACTGGGTTGCGCTGTACTTGGATTCGAGCGGACATTTGGAATATTTCGACAGCTTTGGTCGTCCCCCACTTGTTCCAGACCACATCAGATTCATCAGGAGGAACTGTCATCGTTACACATATAACTCCAAGGTACTTCAAGATTACAGCTCAGCACTTTGTGGACATTACTGTTTAGGTTATTTATTTTTCAAAGCAAATGGGTTTTCAATGCCAAATTTTATAGATCTTTTTTCATCAAATTCTGAAAGTAATGATAGATTTATGTTAGATATGTTTATTTATTTGTATATGTCATGAAGGAAATCACTTTTGTAAATATGTATATAACAAGGTTATGTATAAATAAACAAGTTTGTGGGAATATAAATATTTTATTCATTACCTGACTTTTCAACAATTGAATATATACACATAGTTAGTTTACAACTATATACATAATAGAAAATTATCAATAATCCTATTCAATAATAGGTTTAACAAATATGTTTAGTTGGTAGTGCCCTCAGTTCTAGGTTATACGAGAAAAATCAAATATTTATCTTAAAGATATATCACAAATACTGAAAATACAAATTATATACATTTTAATATACAGTGGTTTGTTTAGAAAACTTAAGATACATATATTCACATTAAATGAGTAGCTAGAAACATGGGTATCAGACAAATGATGGTTTCATCCTATTTTCTTAAAATCTTATGCCCATGAGCTAAAGTGTTTACACCATCAAACAATAGGTGCCTTTTATCATCTTTTGGGCTAAGTGTTAGCTTACATTCAGACTTTGTATAAATCTTGTGTTTCAAAGATCTGAAGGATGTGTTTTCAGTGTACCAATCGTCACCATTTAAAATACAATTTCTATATTGCTGAGCAGTCAATAGTTTATTTACAACAGGCTTATTAATACCTTTACATCGTTTTTTAACTGAATGGTTTGCATCATTCAATATAATACAATACACTTTACTTCTAACACCTAGAAATTCATTAATGAATACACCATTTACTTCGCACTTCATTTTGCCTAAAACTTTAGCATTTACAGGGGAATAAACCGGATTCCTCTTATCAAAAGAGCTCGTGTCAAAATGATGAAGGATGGGCAGCATACTTTTGTGCAAGTCATGTGTACATATTTCCAAAATGAATGAATCAGTATCCATATAGAGTAATTTAACATTTTGTGGGCCATAGTGTGGATGCAATACATCATAAAGAAAACTGTACATTAATTCTTTACTTAAATCTAAAATGCACATTCCTAAATAAATGGGTTTCTCTATAACAATATTGGTTTTTCCTAAGGTAACACCTGCTAAGTTTTCAGAAAAAATAGTTCTGTATTTAAAGTTAGGTTTGTTTAGGAGTTTTTCCAACCTCACGGCATCGTTTACTAGGTGAAAGTCCAACCTTTTCCTAAGATTTTCCATGAATTTTCCGAATACACTGTTGTTGAACAGCTTAAACAAATCCTTGTCAAAATCATTAGTGGCTTTTTTGCGTAGGTCAGTGTTTAGGTCGATGTAGGACTTAAGCCATGGTGATTGTTGAAATTTTACAACCCTGTGAATTTTTTTAACTTTAAGCCCGTGTTTAATTGCTTGTTTCAAAACTCTGTAGTGGACAATATAATGATGTTTGTCATCTAAGGTTGTCAATAACTTCGGACAGTGACCATTAGGTGGTGTCTTTCGCTCGCAGAGAAAAGGGAGGTCATTATGTGTCGTATGGAGAGACTCTGGATATTCTACATCTACTTCTAGAACGTAGCCAAATTTTGACTCGTTGGAAACTTTGGTGAGATCGAGTTTTTCTATCTCACTTTTTTCCAACCATTGAAATCCACCAGTAGGAAGATATTGCGACATGGCATATCCGTAAAGGTTATTAGCATCCAAATAGGTAATATATTTACTTGGTTGTGACTTGTCATACTTTGGGCAGTCTTTGTTATTTGCTTTGGAAAATCTCTTACAACATTGGCTAATTCCCCCACGAATCCCCTTTTCAAAGAACAAATACATCTCCGAGTCTTTGATTGTTTCAAGTTTAACATTGGTTTTCTTTAACATGCAGTCCCACGCATATGATGGAAGAGTGATATAGTACGCAGGATCTAGTTTATGTGTTCGTAAACAAGTGTCTCTAAAGTTTTCAAACACGTCGGTTAACAGCAAGACATCGGTTAAAAGGTATAAATCTGAATATTGTCCAAGGTTTTGAATTCTAAAGGTGTCCCAAACGTTTTGAGCATGCTGGTAGTCTATATCCGTTATTTGCTCAAGTGAAAGTTTGTTGTAAAATGCGTCTTTGGAGGGTAGTTGAGTCTCGTTAAGCCGATCAGTAGAGGTGATGTATGAGTAGGGAAAAACCCCCTTCCGAGTTATTAAGTTAAATTGCTCCTGTTCAGGAAATTCCTTAAGTGTTTCCTTAAAAGACTTTTTGGGGAGGATTGAAGCAAGGTTGGACAAGCTTGAAGGTAGAAATCTTAGAGAATCAACAAACCGAATTTTTAAAGTTCCTCTTCGAGCCTTCTTAAAAGGGATGTATTTGGTAAAGGAAATGTATTTTTCTTCAGTTGATGCAGTTACGGATATATTACTCTTATCCAAGGCCAATTCGTTGATGAAGAAATGCGAATCATATGGTAGGTTATGGAAAAAACAAGTAAACGTGTCTTGCTCGGCAAAGCGGATATTACACTGCGAGTGTGCTGCCCCTCTAAAAGTGAAAGGAAAGGAATGCATGTGATCTCTAACTTTCACATCACTACTAGCAAATGGCTTATTACAAATGTGACAGGTTGACGCTGCATTGAAAGCAATTTCTTCAGCTGCAGTAAGTTTAGGTAACATTTGTCGATTGTCATAGAGTTTATTACCAATGTTGAGAATATCAGCTTTTAGTGAATCTACAAAATGTTTACCCACATTTGCACCTCTATACCTACGAATTATGTTTTTTTCAGTCATGTTATCCTTGATGAGATAGCAATACGAAAAAGGTGAGTGTTCATGGGTCAAACTTCCTTCATTTGGTTTGAGTAAACTTTCAAAATCCGCATAGATTACAAATCTAACACGCTGGCTCCTCTCAGTGTTCTTAAATGTAATATGACTTTCGGAAGATAAGTCGAGTCTTAACGGCTCTTTATACACACAAACCCGTCTATGCTCAATGAGCCTCTCCTCTCCGGATTTCCCATTTTTATTTGGCCGATCGTTAAAGAAAGTGAAACATTTTTTGCAAATGTGGATTTTATGATCATGTTTAGTTAACTGTTTATTCACTAGCTTTGAGAAATCCCTAATATATACATAATGACTATCTTTAGTATTATCTTTATGAGTACCAGTAATTAAGAGCAGGTCTCTGTGGTCTTCTAATTCTCTTTCTACAATTTTAATCGGATACACCTTTTTATCCATGTCCAAACCAAAAACGTTTATACTAATTCTGTTCTTTCTTTCAAACTTTGGCAAGTCTTTTAATTTAGCAGGATATGTGATGCAATCAAAATCATACTTCCCTAGCAGGTTTTTATATTTACTAACTCTTGTTGGGTTGTCAGACACGAATTTCGCTAATACAGCATATTTAAAACAAAATTCATCATTGTTTTCTACATTAACTACTCCTTTGAAATGTTGTGGTAGACGAATATATCCCGAACCTAACAAGGGAGAGTACTTATTTATTCGAATTTCAAATTTAGTAACTCTGACAAACATCCAGCCAGAACCCTTCATCGCGCATTCCTCTTTTTCCTGTAATAGTTTGTCAAACATTTCTGAACAAACTTCTTCGATATCATCTGCCTGGTACAAAGGTTTGTTCATCGTTTTGAAGTTCATTTTACAAACTTCCCCCTTAATGTTTGAAAATTCTACCTCAATTAAAACATTTGTTTTTATGGTTTGGTATCGTGCGAGCATTTCCCGTAACAATCTAGCAGTGTCCTCAAAAACGAACGTTAAAAATAGAGCTAGCGTTACCTTTCTTGAAACATTTTTCTTCAGCTGATATGTTTGCAAGCGGCAGTTGAACGCAGTCTCTGTCTGCTGAAATGGACTCTCGTTGTCATCGTCTTCCTCTGTCGTCAACGGTACCGGGTCTGTCGGTAATGCTGACGGTGATGGTCCGGGATCGACGGTCTGCGTGCTGGATGACGACGGGTCGTTGTAAACTGCTGACGTTGATGGGCCGGGATCGACGGTCTGCGTGCTGGATGACGACGGGTCGTTGTAAACTGCTGACGTTGACGGGCCGGGATCGACGGTCTGCGTGCTGGATGACGACGGGTCGTTGTAAAATGATGTTGATGTGCCAGGATCGTTGATCGTTCTCTGCCCACTGGTGGCTGGACATCGGAAGCGTACATGAATCTCCAGCGAATGTTTTCGCTTAAAGACACTGCCACACTGTCTGCATTTGAAATCTGGAACAATTTTCAACTTTTAAGCTAAATTGTAAATTTACAACACTGAAAGTTGAGTAGTGTTTCGAAACCCAACTTTATTGATGCCCACATTTTAGAAAACTCCACCCTCATACTAGTATGCTGAGGTGGTAAGATTAGTTATAAAAGCTTTATTGACTCCCATGTTTTTGGAATGACTTTTTCAAATAAAGTAAAAACCATTGAGTTGTGCATGAATATTAGTTATTAAATCAATCCTCAATTTTAATGTTATGGGAAATATTTTGAAATGAGAGACTAAACATCTGATATTTGAAAAAGTTAACGCAATATGCGCTGTCTAAATTAACAATTTTACTGCTGAATAATATTCCTAGGGTGTATTAGTACAGAACACTCCAGTGAAATACAAAAATGTCAGTGTTATTAGTAAAAAGGGGCTTTCTTACCGCGATTGTGGACATTGATGTGATCTCTAAGCTGCTTTCGGCTCCTGTATGTCTTTCCACACTGCTCGCAGGAGAATCGCGGTTCAGCTGCTGCAGGAGCTCCATCTCTCCAAGCTGTAAAATTTCAAAGTTTATGTAATACTTTATTTTAAACACCTTGCTGGGTTTACTTATTTGCATTTCATCCTCAGAGAATTGGTTTAGTTGTTTTACAACAATGGAATATCTTGCAATCAGCAAATAGTCTGACGGTATTACCAAATATAATTGTAGTTACTGTATTTTGTTTGAGCTGAATTTTAAAAGAAAGATATGACCGTATTTCATTTCAAAGCACGCTTGATATCATACAAAAATTTTTACTTTACGTTATAGCCCATCATATTAAATAATCAAATTAATAGACCTAAGTATTTTAAAGAATATTGCAACAGAGGGTTGATTAATCAAAATGGCTATGAGTTGATATCAGCATAATGTTATCCTTACCACAGTAGAGTTCAGTGTGTCGTTTGAAGTTGTCATTTCTCGAAAACCTTTTCCCGCAGTGCACACATAAGAAGGAATTATTCCCATGGGTTACCTCCTTGTGCCTGATAAGGTTCCGCATATATAAAAACTTCTCATGGCAGTCTTCACACTCAAACTCCATGATTAATCTATAAAATAAAATAAAATATCACTAGAGTTTTAATTTAATCATAAACTGTCATTTTAGAAGTTTGCCTTTGTATTATGGGCTATTTAATAGAAATAAATTACACAAAAAATATAGCGTTCCTTTTAAAAGTGATATTTACGTTTAGTTAATGATAGACATTTGATGAAAAGTATTGGATTAGGAAATTAGTTTATATTTAGTAGTTTTGGTTTTACAAATCCAACATATAGTACGATGTCAATATCTTTTAAAGTATTAAATATTATTGCTACATAACAAAGGTGGACAATAGTGTATATTAAATTATCATTTACGTCTTACCGTCTCCAAAAGCAAGATTTATTTGATAGGCCTTGTTCATAGTAAAAAAAATATTTCTTCAATAGAGACTCAAACTCAAAAGATTAACGTCATTAATTTACGTCTTATCGTCTCCAAAAGCAAGATTTATTTGATAGGCCTTGTTTGTAGTAAAAAAAAATATTTCTTCAATAGCGACTCAAACTCAAAAGATTAACGTTATTTTTATATTGAGTAATAGTTTTGGTTTCAAAAATCTACTATATGGTATTACGTACGATTCCAATATCTTTTAAAGTATTAAATATTATTGCTACGTAACAAGGGTGGGCAATAGTGTAAAAGTTATCATTTAAGTCTAATCATCTTTAAAAGCAAGATTTATTTTGGAGTAATGGAACAATTAATAGGCCTTGTTCATAGTAAAAATAAATACTTTTCAATATAACAGACTAATAGTTTATAGTATATTCTCTAACAAATTTTAAGTTTGAAATTAAATATCAATGGATTGTTACGCCCTAACACCTAACTATAGATATCAGGGAAATAAAAAAAATCTTGCTTAAAACCAATCAATAACTAATTGAAGTAGCTAAGCAAATTAATTTTATTCTTTGGATAATATTGATTTTTAAAATAGTGCCTAGATTGAGGAAAATATTGTATGCAGATATTACTTACTGTGGAAATGATCATCTCGTTTCCATCACCACTTGTAGCACGAAGAGCCACTTGTAGCACGAAGAGAAAAGATGAAGTTCTCGTAGATGGTGGTGAAAGTCACTGACGTAGCTTCACTCTCACTAGGTCCTTCTTATAGGTTGACACCCTAGACGAGAGGGGGTGGAGGGGTGAAGCACCCTGACGGGAGGGGTGCTCAAGCTTTCACAGAGTGTGAACAACACAAACCTTATATAGTCACAATACATGCAGAAAATTGCAATAAACATTTGATATTTACATGAAAACTATTTATATTGAAACTATTTACACTAAATCTATTCACACGAAAACTATTTACAATCACTTCATCTGACTACTCAAAAGTGTGCATGATGTCCTCATCTTTAAATATCACCACAGACTCCGAGTCTTCATCACTACTATAATCTTCTTCATTTTTATTTTGATGATATCCAAAATCTCTCATGCACTCGCTTCTGTCCAAAATGTCATAAAAAGGCCGGATCACACACATGTCACAATAAAAAAAATCACGATGGATCACAGACTCCATCGCAGTTTCCGATCTCACACGGTAGTGACCGACGGTCTTGATGAATTTCCAACCCGCCGGATCACTGTAGCACCCCCACCGCCTAACCGCTGTGCATTTTGTTACTCGGGAGACATACATGTAGCAATATCTACAGAGTTTCTGACTTTGTGCAAACGGTTCCCTTGGTATCCACAGATAGTATTCGAAAGTAAAGTGGCAAAACCGTTCCGGTAGAAAATCTGGTATACCTGGTGATTCCATGGGATAGTTCATTAACATATTAAACTCAAACCGGGACATGCGATTGGTATCGAGTGTGCCGTAATCGAAATCCTCAGGTGACGTCAATGCCTCCTGCCAAAACCACAACTCCTTTACCATAGACCTCGCGTATCTTTTTATCGAGATGGGTATTGGTAGGTCTTCAATTTCACTCGCGTCCTTCAACGACAAACAAAACACTTCGAAACTCAAATCGAACAACGACTGCATATCTATATCACTGTTAACAATATTTAGCGAACTTACAATGTAAATGTAACGCGCACAAAATTGTACTTTAACATGCAACCCATAATCAGCTGGTCTTTATAGGAAACTTTGGTCGTGGGAGGGGTGAGTGGGGGTGGGTTCAGTGGTGGGGGTGGTAATGTTGATGTGTTCCTAAATTTTGTTCAATGGGAATAATAATAGTATTTACATAATTACACTCAACTTCAACATTTTTAATGCATATGATTTAAACAACTACACACGTGTTAGCCTACTTGAATAAATATCTATTTGCTGCTTACAGTGAATTGAAAAACTGTTTTAGACAATAATAGCTCAATGTATTTATTACCTATTCAATTTTAATAACTTAAACTTTTTCATCTATAGAGAGTACATGCTTGACATATAGGAAGAGAGAATCAATTCATCTGTTTGTCGTAAGTTGTTTTCAAATTGCATACCGGTATTATTATTTATATCCAGTAAATATATAACGCAAGGGTATCTTTTGAGTTTTAACAACCATAATGAAATATTCTAATGGTTTATCAATTATTAAAATTAGTCAATCCATATGAGAATACAAACGACACTAGAAATTGTACGTTTAAAACCACACGGAACATAAAATCATTACATTTTCATGTGTTTTTTAAATTTATTAAATCATTTAAGCGACCTTTTAATTCGATGTCAATGAACTCTTGAATAAGTATTAGAGCTAATACCCTAGTAAAAGCCCACTGCACTGGATTATAATGTCTCAGACATTGCCATTGTGCACGGGTACAGGGATTACCAGGTCAGCGCCATCAGCCACAATTCTAAATCTCATGGCGTGTGGTCCAAGCGAACAGGGGTGCAACGTTTTCGAGTGGATTACAGGGTGACTAACCCTCTCAGGCAACTATGGTAAGATTAACGGAGATTATAATGACACACCAAGTAAAGGATTTAAAATGTAAGCTTTAGATTATTATAACGTAATAGGATTTACCCTTCTAATCCATCCTGATTTGGTGTAGCCTTATTGCGAATGGTGTTTTATATGATATTTTAAGGTGTGTGTATTTAATTATCTGCCTTCCGTAACCCCATATAAAATAATTCACTATAACAGAACATTTTTACGCAACTGGACATAATGTTGCAGCAGCCTCGTTGAGAGGAGCGTACTGGAAAAACGTAATTGTGTACTAAAATGTATGGCTTTTGTATACGATTCTGTATATATCACATACATACATCAAAATTAATTACAAAACTTACAAGTTTTCCGACTCAACCCATTAAATAATCAAGTTTTATACCCCGCTCCTCAGCTCCTCACAAAAAGGCTGCTGCAAGATTACCGGCATTTCTATACTACTGACAATCTGTTTTAATTAATTTCATTAATCATATGACAATGACCATTTCATGTACATGATCAACGGCAAATAAATCATTTGATTTCATTTCATTTTCATTCATTTCTATTAACATTGGGCGCGTTCTGGGAACATGTACCGGTGCACCGGTGCAGATTAACCGGTGACTTACTCACCGGTACCGCCCCGGGGCAAGAGTCTTGGTATCCCAGAACGGTTATTCACCGGTTTACGGTACACATCGGATTATAATTTACACATTCACCTATTATTTACTTTATAATATTTAAACCAAACAAACTTGTCCTCACAGAATAAATTATTTGAAAATTATTCACTTAATACGTAATTTAACCCCCTCATAGAATAAATTATTCACTCATTACGCAACATAACCTATAAAACTGATGAACATTATTCGATGGAACCGCCATCTTGCCGTCTGCATGCTGTTGTCCAAGAAACAGACCAATCAGAGGCCGCCCGGTGTATTATGCACCGTACAATTTCTCCGGTGCATAAATCTTGCACCGGTGGAGGAAAAAGTGGAAATAGCTGTCTGCTAGGTTAACTCACCGGTCTCCCAGAACGGCACATTTTTTTCACCGGGGCAACACCGGTGCACCGGTGCATGTTCCCAGAACGCGCTCATTGCCGTTATGTGCAGAAAATCCTTGTATTGAGTTCAGTTGTGTTTAAGTTTTTAGTTTAGTTAGTGTAGGTGCTCTGTTCGATTTAGCACTAAATGCAGACTGTTTGTAGCCTATTTATTAATTTTAGAGTCCATCTTATCAATATAAGCTTATTAATTTATAAATTTACTAGCTGTAACCCGCGGGCTTTGCCCCGTTTAACCTCTTTCAAGATGATCTCGTTCGCATGGCTCAATCACGTCCTGGTTGAAGTTTGTTCGCTACGCTCACTTGCCTTCAGGTTAGCTCGTTCACTACGCTAACTCGCCTCCAAGTTGAAGTTCGTTCGCTATGCTCACTCACCTTTTGGTTGCAAATTAGCTGTTGTCATAAATGTAAAAGAAATAATAGTGCTGCACCCTGTTGTTTTCAAATGTAAACATAAGTCATGTTATACATCATTTTAAAGGTATTTGATAGATAAATATTTTGGCAAAAACAGAAATAAGTTATCTTTTTCCGTTTCAAAATGGCGGCAGTTTTTTTGGAAAAAATCTATATATTTTTTTAAAACTCTGTGTTTCCTATACTAATGCATTTATCCCTTCTCCGGTTGAATTTTCTTACTCGTTATGAAATTAGCTTTACTTTGATATGCTACAAGTAACGGTTTTTTGAAATTATAAAAATTCCAAAAAAATTTATTTTTGAAAATCTGCAAATGCTCATTTTTCAAAAATTTCAAATAGCAACATATGTCAAGTGGCACATCATTTTATAGGTTTTTAAATTCCTAACAACTTTGTAATTTACACTTTTTTCGTATCTCTTTTAGTTTTTGCGTAAATAACAAAAAACCTAATTTTCCCATATCAAATGCATGTTATTTGGGTTTAACACTAAAGGCCCAATTTGATGAAGTGTTAAACCACGTCAAACCCAAATTTTGTTATTTACGCAAAAACTAAAAGAGATACGAAGTAAGTGTAAATTACAAAGTTGTTAGGAATTTAAAAACCTCTAAAATGATGTGCCACTTGACATATGTTGCTATTTGAAATTTTTGAAAAATGAGCATTTGCAGATTTTCAAAAATAAATTTTTTTGGAATTTTTATAATTTCAAAAAACCGTTACTTGTAGCATATCAAAGTAAAGCTAATTTCATAACGAGTAAGAAAATTCAACCGGAGAAGGGATAAATGAATTGGTATAGAAAACACAGATTATTAAAAAATATATAGATTTTTTCAAAAAAAAAAACTGCCGCCATTTTGAAACGGAAAAAGATAACTTATTTCTATTTTCACCAAAATGTTTGTCTATTAAATACCTTTAAAATGATGTATAACATGACATATGTTTACATTTGAAAATTCCGAGATTCGAACTAGTGACCCTCAGTTTTTGGCACACCCTGTATTGGGAAAAAGTTAAAAATATTTTTACGTTATTCCTTGGGGTCAATTTAGAGGGAAATAATTTCATTTCATCCTTGTACGTTAAGCCGTTTTTCCGTAATCAATTTGAGACACCTCTCGTGAGACACCTGTACTTGGCTTAAAATACGTACCTTTGTAGGCCTATGGTCGCCATTTTAGTTTAAGATTAAAGTACCGGTATATATTTTTGTAAAATTTAAGCCCAGTCGGTTCAGTGACTTCAGTCTTCAGTCAGTAGTTTTTGTTTTGCGCCTATACACGTGCAAACAGACATCAGACATCATGGTGAAAGAAAACCATTAGACTTTTATATAATAGTGTAGAGTAGATGAACGTTGTAGCTGAATAGCAGAGAATAGAGTTGGCAGAAAAATTGCAGGAGGCAGGAGGCGGGAACTTTAAAACTGCTGGTAAATAATCAAACCCACGTCAATCCATCAAACATAACCTCAATCTTCATTCTTCGAATGCAAAGGTTAAGTAAGACGAAGACCAATACATTTTACTATTCACTATTCAGGCCTAGCAGTGATTTAACTTAGTATAAACAATACACCAAATTGCTAAATAATTTATTGGCTTTTTAATAGTGAGCTACTATAAACTATGTTTTGAGTTTCTGATTGAGTGAAAACTACATAATCGTCATAGCCTTATCAAGAGTTTGATTTAGCCCTATCTTCATTCAGCCAGAACACAAGTCAAAAGCAGGTAACTTAAGGTTACTATATTAGACACTTATGGGTAAACTAGTTCCTATTAATTGCCCAACAATGGTGGACGTTTTATTTTCATAGCTTTACCAATACAATACTCCTAAATTTAAATTTGGGCCTAGGTACCAATGTGTAAGTGAATTGGAGATGGCAATTTGTTACAAGAGGCCTAGTTTACACAAATCCAGTCGAAGAAGGTGAATCATACATTTTCCGAGTTGATCCCGGACACACTGGTAACTTACTGGTGGAAGAAAATTAGGAGAGATAAATTTATCGAGTGTGAATTACCAAGTGAATATAATGTACTATCGTTTCCACTCAGACTCGCCCTTCATTCCATTATTTGTCTGTGCATTAAGCTGTGAAACTTAAAGTATAAATACATTTCTAGCTTGATCTTGACATATTTAAAGCAAACTCTTTGCTAGCATACTCAGGTGAGATTGCCTTGATGAGCTATTCTGTCTAGGGCAATGTAGTCCAAAGGGATTTTATAAAATATCTCCAATTAAGTTTGAACCACATTTAATGCTTTAGGTAAGCTAAAAAAATATGTTCTGCACTTTAACTACTTACCCTCAACAAAATGTTTTTGTATTAGCTGGACTCAATTTAACATGCTGATCAAACTCTCAAATTAGGCCTAATAAGATTTTGAGATCACTTTTCATAGTCTCTATCAAAGTATTTAATTCCCATCTTACCAACAAGTAGGCTAATTATTTTTGTTGGATTCTAGGAAACTATGAATGCATCATCGAGAAACATTGAAATTAAAGCAAAAGTGAGAAATGTTGAAGAACTGATCGCCAAGGCAAAGCAGTTGAGTGCCAGTGAAGGCACTATCCTTAACCAACATGACATCTTCTTCCACACCACAAATCCTCTTAACCGTCTTAAACTCAGAGAAGAGGTTAGTCTGTTTTAAACCTAATTATGGCTGTTCGTCCAGTAGTGATGTGTCTAAGGCTATTTGCACACACACCGATTTTGGACGGTCGGTAATAAGTCGGTCGATATTTTATCGGTTCATGTTGCTTGTACACATACCGGATTTTTAACAGGAAAATGATCAGTCTTTGTTGTTGTGTCCAGGACGGGACGAGATTATTGAATACATAATCCTAAAAGTGTTGTTGCTATGTGGTTTTTGTATCAACGTTTTAAGCTCCGTAGGATTAAACGTATATTCGGTCCCGTTCCCGGCTGTGGTTCACCATTGGAATTTGGACGGTCGGTAAAAAATCGGTCGTCCAAAATTGGTGTGAGTGCAACGAGCCTTATTTGTGGCTTACAAATAGATTGGTCAGGCCTATTTACAAACTTGCAGTCTAATTTCAGTATTTTGTGACTTAAAGGTATTTAAATATGATTGCAATATTTATGAATTGGGAGCAGGTACTGGCAATTTTTAAGTATGGGTAGGATGTTTTCCTTTAAACATTTTTCCTCCTAACAAGAATAGAAGTTAGATAGGTAGTCTTTACTTTGATTATCCTTAGGCTTTTAATAAATGATCTCGGACAAAGAAGCAGCTGATATTTTTAGTAACACAGTTACCTTACACAAGGAATTAATATCATTTCTGCCGTACTCGTAATCTAATTATATTTTACTTCAAATACACCTCAAGCCTGGTTTACATCCTTTCATTTTGTTTGCGCTCACCTTTTGATATGGGCAGATAAATGTGTGAGTGTGGACCACTGATTGGAACAAATCTGAGAACTGTGCACATGTGCAGTGGGCTACCTATGACATATGAGGTATGAGCAAAAGCATCAAATGTCTGCAACGACCACACACAAGTTGAAACGTGTGGATGCTCTTTTGAAATGTGCACAAATCTGTGTTCACATTGTCAGCTATTTTACTTGCAAAGAAGTCCGTCTGACGTTTCTTCAGTGCATGTAAGAGCTGTTGATTATATGGTGGATATTTGTCACACAGAATTTCTCACAGAATCAACTGAACTTAAGAGAAATTTTCTGTGTTTGTATCTGGTGAAGTCAAAAGAATATGGTGAGCGTGATCATAAAAATTTGGCTTATGACATAATATATAGGACCTAAAAGTACAAAGAGACATCAAGTGGCTACAAGAGACACGGTAGGCTAAATACAGTACACTCCCTCTTATCTGGATACATTTTAACCAGAAATCAGTTTAACTGGACAGGATTGGCTGGAAGTGTAAGGTATTGAAACAAATTTTCTCATGGGAAAGTTTTAAGACCAGTGATCACATGACTAGTTTTACTATTTTTACGTAATAATCATGTTTGACTAATATAGTCACATTAGACATTCCTATTTTAACAAGTTTTAGGAGACGTTGGTTTAACCGGAAAACCTGCTAACCAGACTGGCCTCGGTCCCAAGGAGTCCGGATAAGAGGATTTTTTTAGTTTAGGAAAATTAACTCAATCAGGACTGTTAAAACTCTTAAATTCAAGAAGTCGCGTAGGTGCCGGAGGACAATAAATACAAACTAGTGCACCTGTTGCTCGAATTCGAGCAATTGCAAAGTATTATAGGCATTATTTCAAAACGAATAACAGTCATAATTTCCGATGACTTAAAAAGAGTCAAGTCAAAGATAATGTAATCAATTACTCCACTCCAGTTATTGAAACTGAAAACTAATGTATCATGTATTTAGGCCTACTATGAACAGCTGTTTTAGTAAGCAACTAATCTATATAATTAATACGCTACATGAAACTTTGTCGGTTGAACTCCTTCGCCATTTCTTAACCGATTTTATCCATTGACGTCTCATTGGAAAGAGCGTGTCGCGTAGATTTGCAAACTGGCCTTACATTTTCGAAAAAGCCCCTTGGGCTCTGCCCCAGTGGCTTTGAAAGTTCCCATGTTATCCTTATGAAGAACGTAATTGTTTACACTTTGATCAGCTGTATAATTTAATTGCTGTTATTTATTTTCCAATTCAACGAAACGCATAGGTTACATTTACTGATTTGGTTGAAATTAAATATTTGCTACTTTAATTTACATTCGTACTTTATTCCGATGTAAAAAATCGAGAAAGCCTGGGCAATTTGATATATTTTACCAAAAAAGAAAAATGAATTGACAGGGTACTGTATTTCTTGAGCAATAATTGAAAGAACCGATTTTTTACCATGGAAACATAGGAGTCATAGAACACCACCAAGTAGAAAAAATAAAGATAAAAAAAACCATTTACTATCGTTATCATCCTAAATAATGAAGAGCATTTACAATATGAAGATTCCCACAAACAATGAACAGGGATGTTAGCCAAAGTGTTACTATTTTGTAGTTAACACTGACTTAACTTTATGATGATTGGCAAAGGAAAACACTCTAGGGCTGAATTAAACTGCTACGGCAAGGACATTAAATATATGTTTTCATAAAAGTCAAGTGATTTTAAAATAAAATGACTACATCCAAGAAACCTTAATAAAAACTTTCACTGAAGGATTTGCATTATTCACATTTAAGGGAAACAAAAAACCATCTGAACGACATTTGGCCTTTCAATTCTGCATTTTTTTCAGGTAAATATAACTTACGTTATAACAGTAACTAGGTAGCCAAATTAATGCCAATTGAAGCAAATAAAATTATGACAGAGAGGTTATGCAGAAAATCAGGCAGTTCTTAAGTAATGTAAACAAAATGTCATCGCTATAAAAAATTACTGAAATTTGTAAACATACTAGCGACAACGGGTAGTACTATGCAGACTACATTATCATTGACGAAGATCAACCTGGACCACCTAATGCGGCTATAAGTGGGAAAGATATGTAGAATATACTAAAAAACCAGATCAGCTTTTGAAAAATGATCAAATATTTACTAGAAATGTTGATTATATGTAACTGTTAGTCACGTAATCTATGAGCTGAGTCTTTTAAACTCATCGGAAATTATGACTTTTATTCGTTTTTAAATAAGTTAATTATTTGTTTTTAAATACTGTAACTACTTTACTTCTTTGCAATTGCTCGATTTCGAGCAACATGTACACTAGTACAAATGATTCATCTACAAAATATTTTCTTCATATGAAATACATTGGGATTTTGATGACCTGAGGGGCAAAGTCTGAGGACTTTTATTATAGGAATTGGTGAAAGGGTGCGTCTACAAAAAATACTCGTTTGTAAAAATTGGTCCATTATTAACGGAGGAGTAGTGTTTCATAGAAATCGCCTTCACGTATTATATATAAGGATACTCCTCTTGGAGACAAGGACAAATAAATAACTTTTTTCCAATTAGGCTTATCAGATGTGAGGATAGAATTGTGCATGTGGACAGTCTCGGGATGCAGACATCAGGTGTCATACGCATTTGAATTCTAACAAACGAGTGCATGTATACCTGGCTTTAATTGTATCCCAATATTATAAAAGTATCTTTATTATTATCTGTCATATGGCCGGTGTTGCCGATGCTTGTACTGTAGTGCTGCATGTAGCATAGACTTGTACCTTTAACCATTAATAGAACTAGACATTTCATCCCCATGTTAACACTGTAAAAGTCGTCACCAGTTTTTAAATAAAAATAGACTTAGTTAAGTGAGCCACCGACAGATTTCGCTGATGTTAACTACTGATTTCTGTTGAACGTGCAGAGTTTACTTATAAACTTAAAGTTTACTTACTTAAAGTTAAAGTGACAGGTAAGGTCTCTTTAGGAGACCTTTTTTTTAAGGGAGAGGAGGGAAAATGCTTTTACGCACACAGGTAGCCAGCCTGTAGTGTGAGACTCCTGAATCTATCACAGACTACTCACTAAAAACCCCCCTCTACTCTGTTGGACACAGATCTGGAATTGTTTGTCACATTACTTCAAGTCAGGCCAACATGTGACCTAAGCCCTCAGGGCTCTCACCATTTTTGGCATTTAGATACTTTATGACCTACACCGCATCCCGGTCAAGGTCGAGCATCTTGGCGCGGAGAATATGGTACCCTGGATGTAATGTGACATACAGGTCCAATTGTCCTCACCCTCCGTCATCATCGGTATGACCGTGTCCACTGACAGCAGTCCTACTAACTGTTTAGCCTCCAGGCGGGGCCTTTCCCAACGCTGGCAATGGAAAAAGGTATGTTCCACGTCATCGGGAATGCCTGGGTAGTATTATGCAATCGGGTGACACGGCTTTGCCCATCCTAAACAGGTACGACATGAAAAAGCCGTGACCCGTCAGAAATTGGGTGAGGTAGAAGTCCACCTCTTCGCACCGCCGATTAACCCAAGGTTGGACTTGCTATATCAGTCGCCTGGTCCAGCGTCCCCGAGTCTCCTGTTCCCAGCTCTCTTGCCACAGCTGGTAGGTGCGGGTGCGTTCCTCTGTTCGTTCCTGGTCCTTCCCACGGCGCTGATAAATTGCCTTTCTCTCCGCCACCAAAAGTTTGACGAGGATGACTCCAGCAACCACCAGGACGGCGGGTTCGGACACTGTTCGGTAGGCGGATGCAACTCTTAGTGCTGCCTGACGCTGCACTTGGGCGAGCCGCATCCCATATACCTCCTTATTGAGAGCGTCTGCCCACACCTCAGCACCGTACAAGAGTACGGACTGGACAGAAGACATTAACAGCCTTCTACGGCTGGACCGAGGCCCTCCGACATTGGCCATCAACCGGCTAAGAGAGACCGCCCTAGCGGACTTGTCCGCCGTACGGAAAATCTGATCCCGCCAGCTAAGCTTGCTGACCACCATAACCCCAAGGTACTTGGCAGAACGAACGGTCTGGACTTCGACGGCCCCTACCCCTCAGCGGCGATGGTGTCAATCCGTTTTTTTTTGTTAATATCATGATCTCAGTTTTGCTCAAAGCAAGCGAGAGACCGTGGTCTGTCATCCACGCGATTATGGTACGCATAACTCGGTTCAGCTTTAGCTGAGCCAGCTCAACGCCACGTACAGCTATCAAAACTGCAACCTCGTCTGCGTACCCAATCAAAACAGTTTCCTCAGGCATTTCAGACCTCAGGAGGCTGTCATACGTGACATTCCAGAGGTCTGGGCCGAGTATGGAACCTTGGGCAGCACCGGAAGTGGCACTCATCGTCCGTGGGCCCTCTGTAGTATCATACATGAGGAGGCGGAACCTGAGATAATCTTCTATGATACGCATGAGGTATGCCAGAACGTGGAAGGTGTTTTAGGGAGACCTTATTAGCTATAGCATCTTTAATGTTACGTCAACTATCTCTGTAAGAAAAAATAAGGAGAGAAATAGAATTGTAGACAGGAGACACAACAAACAATCTGTAACTGATTCACTGAACTACCTACGTTCTTTTAAAATAAAAAAAAATGGGTGACAGCTGGTCCATATAGTTGGGATGTCTACTTCAGTCAATACTTGTTCCTAGGCCTATAAAAAAAGTGACATACTGACATATAAGTAATATTTACAATAACTTTTTTTAACTGTGTTTTAGTATGCTAACTTTGGTACTGGGAAATTTGTTACAGAACGGAACTGGAACATTAATATCCTATAGTCGCCCAGACGTGGAAGGGCCAAAGTTAAGCGAGTACGTCAAGTGCAACGTTAGTGATGTTCCAGGGCTGACTTCAGTGCTGGCAGATGCTCTTGGGAAAAAAGGATCAGTAAAAAAACAACGGTTTTTATACCTTGTTGGTCAAACACGAATTCACATAGACAGAGTTGAAGAATTGGGGGATTTTATGGAACTAGAGGTAGGTAACATATAAGTAGTACATACTTGTCTGGGTAGCTGAGTGGTTATAGTGCTCGCCTCCAAATCTGAAGGTCGTTGGTTCAAATCCAAGCGAGATCGTTTCCAGACCCAGATACCCCATGGGGCTATAAATTAATGATGCTATCTAACAAATAGGTCGATGTTAGATAGTAAGAAGACTAGGGTTTGGACTGTTCCCTTTCAAAACGTAAAAAATGCCACTGGCGTAAAAACATACAAAAATAAAATTTTGTGCTTTTGGCTATGATATCTTCAAACAGTTGTCTTCAATTTATATTGTATCCTCGATTTATAGGAAAAAAATACAAACAGGTTGAATAAAACTTGACTAAAAGTTTTTTTGTATAACTAGTGGTCAATAATGCAATATAATTTTCTAAAATAAAATCTCAAGTATAGCTGAGATACGTTGCACATGCATTAAAAGTTGGATTTTTATCCAACAGTTACCAAATGAAGGTTTTGCTAGTCATATAACCTCATTCAGGCCTACTGTTGTAGGTACCTAGAAGACAGTTGACACATAGACATGGTGTCTCTAGCTAGAGATAGCTTTGTTAGTCAGCTTGCAAGTTCATCTGTTGCTAATATAGATAGTGTCTCTAGCTAGAGATAACTTTGTTAGTCTGCTAGCAAGTTCATCTGTTGCTAATATAGATATGGTGTCTCTAGCTAGAGATAGCTTTGTTAGTCAGCTTGCAAGAGGTGATGTTGTAGGAAGGTCAGAGTGCAAAGGAGGGAGAGGCCATTGCTGCTAATCTGATGACACAACTTGGAGTCTCTGAGTGTGACTTGCTGTCTGGACCTTATATGTAGTTTCTAGCTAGAGATAACTTTGTTAGTCAGCTTGCAAGGTCATGTTGTTGTACAGGTGATGTTGAAGGAAGGTCAGAGTGCAAAGGAGGGAGAGGCCATTGCTGCTAATCTGATGACACAACTTGGAGTCTCTGAGTGTGACTTGCTGTCTGGACCTTATATGTAGTTTCTAGCTAGAGATAACTTTGTTAGTCAGCTTGCAAGGTCATGTTGTTGTACAGGTGATGTTGAAGGAAGGTCAGAGTGCAGAGGAGGGAGAGGCCATTGCTGCTAATCTGATGACACAACTTGGAGTCTCTGAGAGTGACTTGCTGTCTGGAGCTTACATGGATGTGTTGCCTAAATCCTCATAGCAAAAGGTAAACACATATACTTATCCTATAATTAATAATTTGGCAAACATGTATAATTAACTCTTTGAACACCCTCATTCAGTGATATAATTATGCCTATTAAGATTATGTTTTTCCTCATCCCATGAACTGAAAATCCCATAAGAATTGTCAGTGGTGTGGACACACACAGGAAGGAAATGCAAAAAGTTGTAAAATGCATGATTTGTGGTGCAGATTTGTAAACTCCTCTTGAATTGCTCACCAAAGGTAACCGAAACCGGGTTCAATCTCCCGGGCACGGAGACAACTCATTTTAGATCTTAGATCGTCCTCTCATTGTCCAGACCTGTCTCCCGTTGAACTACACAAATAAAAAAAGCCCAATCAGTAGTTCTAAACTTGACCCTCATGCTGCAGCTCAAGGCTTGCAGCTATTGTTTTAAAGATTTACTTACAAAAGAGAGCTGTGAGTAGTATGGTTATACTTTTCTACCCAAAGAACAAAAATACCCCCGCCGCAGCAAACCTGCAGACTAAGCGAATTTCAACTTGTCTTATTACATTTTTACTAAAATATTTCCATAAATAAGACATATTTAAGTATTCCCTATTTAAATAAGATAAGATTTAACGTGTGCTTAGGTTTGATGCTACGGGGAAGGTGAAAAGTGTTTTTGACCATACGTCAATAGTATAGGATGAAATAAATAAATTTCCCAAATATTATCAATATATATCCATAAACAAGTAAACTACAATAATTTTCATTTTCTCCATAAGAAAAACATGGGAATTTTAAATTATACTATTTTTTAATTTTCTCCGTGACCGTTAGGCATACAACAGCTCTTCAATATACTAAATTATTTTTTTTTTTTAAGCTCTACAAAACGGTTTAAAAAGAAGTTGCAAACTTTTTTGTTTTTAGGGTCAAAAATGGGAAAACCCCATTTTTACCCCATAAAACCCCCCATAAACCCCCGTTCCCATGGTCCGATTATGATGGATCGCGAACCCGTTCGAATAAACGTAGGTTTACATGTTTGTACCAAATTTCATCAAAATCGGATAATTTTTGCTTGAGTTATCGCGCTAACGGATACACACATATATATATATATATATATATGAATTTGAACAGATAGTGTTTTTGGACTCTAGGGACCTCAAAATGAAAAATTAAATCGGTCCCGGGTCTAGTTCTTACCATGAGTACTACGGTAATAGCTTATTCCCTATATGGGAAATTCGCTAAAATGTGGTCTTTAGCAAAAAATCAACAAAATACTTTCACTTTATGGAAGCTTTGGCCTTAATGCAAAGGGGCCGTCTTAAAAGTGACATGATTTCCGTACAGTATATGTAACAAATCTTCAGAAAAATGTCAAGAAACACTTAAAGTGGTTCATTTAAAACAACTGTTTAAAGACCTGCACACACTGAAGCGATACTTAATCGCTGGAACGACGCAATACATTTCCAAGAATTTTATCTACGATACTTGGGGAATAATATCGCAGAGAACAAGTTCTTCCACACTTAAACATTTATTTAAAAAATATGCTTTTCTGTTTAAATCAAGGGATAAGAATTTTGTACTTTGCCCATATTAGAAAGTGGGTCTGATACATTGGTAGCATTTCGTTTGCAAGGGTGGTAGTGCTGGTAGCAGATGGTGAGTCCACGACAGCAGCGAATCGACGAACGCTGAGCATGCTCTAGCAGCAAATCGAGGAACCTTTATCTGACAGTCTATATTTATTCTATTTGTCTATGGTTATAGTTTTGTGTTTGTTTATATACAGTACTGTTTTACCATGACATTGTCTGAACGGCTGAAGAAGCCTTGCTGTTATTAGCCGTGGTAAAAGATGAAAGAGCAAGGAAAATGTGGGTACGGTACAAATGGGGGGTATAAATAAAGAACGGTTGCAATTTGGCGAGTACCATATGCTCATGCCCTAGTTAAGAAGAGATGTAAAAAGATTCTACATATATTTTAGAATGAATCATGAATGTTTTGATAAGTTGCTGAGTTTTATTGCTGACTGTTGAGGTTGCTGAGGTGAATGCAGCTTACGGCGATAATATCGCTACAGTATTGCATTCGTCTTAAGCATGGGTCACACTAGGCTGCTTGTCAGCCACTGATGATCAGCTTCCGTGGGACCTCGTAACGAGTTCTTAAGCGATAATTGAGGTTGTGACGGTCAGGAAGTTATTGACCATATTTTTTTATTGTTATTATGGATAACATCCCAAAGCCCAGTATTTGACATCGACATTGGTAAGATGGGCAATCGTGTCGCAACTCCGCTAGTCAGCAGTGTCTTGCAATTTATTTGGGGTTTTGTTGAGTGTCACAAAGTATTGGGTACATCGATTGCTACATCACGTTCGGTTGTTTGGATCGTGGCATGGAATGCATGGCCTGATTGTTTTGCTGACATGAGGTGTCATCATTCTGTGTGACGTGTGGGACCTCCGAACCTGGGGTAGTCAGTCAGAGTCGGGGGTCGGGGTTCGAAGAGTCCGTGAGCCGCGGTTACGCGCTATCTTTCCCTCCCCCACGGGTGTCCGTGGGGGTGGGCATGTCCGTTTTGTAAATCACTTTTGCTTAGGCTATATTTTCAATTGATAGTATTTACATTCATTGTTGTTTTTTTCATTGCAAATAATTTTGTTCATTTAACATAATAAATTGAGTTTTGAATTCTACTCGGCATTCGATCTTTGAGTTACTACCCTTCCCGTGCGTGGTTGTTACAAAGTTGTGTGAGAAAGATCAGCTGTGAAGTTTTGCAAAAACTCACTGTAAACTGCTTCTTTGGCATTCCTAAATACTTCTTTGAAGAAACGTCCCACAAGCACGCATAGTTTTGGAATAAATTCAAAAAAATCAATAACCTGCTTCAGCGACCACGGAAAGGTCAGTCAGTTCTATGCTATAAATTACCCCTTTTACTCGTGTAGCTTGGTTCTAGTCGTCCTTGGGTCCTCATAAACCTGTACTCAATCATTATTGAATGTGTGTAAAAGAGAAAGAACTTTATTTAAAGATGCTTAACCGCAAGAAGAGGTGTTAGTGGACCAGACTCCTTAGATATAAAAAAGGAACATTTAGGAGTTTCTTCAAGCTGGTTGCAAAAATCAAAAGGAGAAGACTCTGAAACACACAGAAATGTTTTATAAATGTCCACATAAATTTCAAGGATTGCTAGAATTAGTTGAACCTTTAATTAAAAAAATGAGACACACTTTTGTGTAAAACCATGTTGAAAAATACCTTTGGTAGCCTAGCCGCTGGCACGCTTCTAGAGGTGGTCAGGGCTGCTAATTTTTTGGTCACATTAACACTGCGAGGGGCGGGAATTCCCGCCCCGCTGTACCGGTGCCGCTGGCGCGGGGCGGGAAATGTCTTCCTTCAGCAATGCATACAACTTTGTTGCAATGTGAGCTCAGCCATTGCCGGGGAACGTTGTAATCGTTACCAGCCTGTAGCTTAGAATGTGAGCTTTATTCTGATGTAGATTAGTACTAAAATTGCCCGTAAAATCCCGTCTGGCAATGCTTTTGTCCCGTTTTCGGAGATTTTCTCTATTCGAGCCATATTACAAAGACTCTGGTTATTGATCCAGGCAGTGCTGCTACCTTTGGGTGTTTCAGTGAACTACGTCCACTATCGGGGTAACGCAGAACAATCACCACTGCTCTTTTGTGATTCGTCTTACTGAGATATTTCAATACCAATAGCGATCGTAGATTCAGTTAGCACGTCGGGGCTCCGCCTGGGCCTCGCCGCCATTGGTGAGCGCTTGTTTAAAGGTTTTCAGCAGCGAACGTGTTAAGCTTACAGTAGCGGCTTCCTTTAATTTGCAGTTGATGCCAGCCGCTAGTGATCAGCGGCTGATACCAGCACCATCAAGCAGCATCTAAAGTATCGCGTATCGCAGTTTGCTCTGAAGTGCACAGCTCCATAAGCCACTGTGGTGTCGCACGGACCACTACTATCGCAAGAGATTTTCCAAGAAAAAGTATCACGTCCACTCTGTATCACACAGAGTATTGCTCCGGTGTGTGCATTTAACAAATGGATATGAGCATTTTTCTAATATGTGCTAATTTTGTTATTAAATTGATCTTGTTAGATTTTTTTATGAAATCTAAATTCCACTGTACTAAATTTAATCTACTGGACCAAATTTTAAATAAACATTCTCTTCTTAACTCGCTCCCTTAGCTGTGTGTAAAAATATTTTCAAGATAAACAACCTATATTTCATGAGCTATGATATTGAGAGAATTAAATGAATACCTAGTTAGTAAGCCAAAGTCAGTAAGCAAGCAGGTTGTGGTGATATTGTGACAGTTATGGCAACATTTTAAGATATTTAAATTATCTACGATTTATTTTTTCCGGTAATTACAGATATAATTTTTTGTAGAATATATCTATTTTTTTATGTAATACTAAGTTTTAATGTTCAAAAGGCCAATATATAATCATTTTTATTTTATTAATATTGGTCTTTTAACATTAAAACTTGTGTTTACATTACATTATTTGCCAACAATCCCAATAGATATAAGCTTTTTAATCATACAATACGTAGCAACAAAATCTACTATGTAGCAACTGTACATGCAACTGTACATGCTACCATAGTGTTTCATGTTTTAAATAAAAACACAATTGAAGTTTCAATACTATTTATTATAAATTGTAATTAACATCGACAGAAATACATTTAGGCTGCAGTTAATGAGCCGACATATTTTATTCTGAATCGGAAATCAAGTACACTTAAAAGAGAATACACAAAGACCAAAGAGTAATACCTCTAAACATGGACTTCACTATATACATATATCAACATCCCCTCTCTTTTACAAAATTGAAAATTTTAACTTTCCAAAATACAACTTTAACATTTTCCTTTCAAGTCTAACAAAATATACACCAAAACCTAATCATAAGACAACCGCTTTGGATTTCTTATCAATCTACCATTTCGGCTTACACA